CGTTGCATACGCGCGCACATATGGACACACACGCACGTTTTGGAACACGGATGGATGTCTCGAATCTCGAAGGTCAATGAATTACTGAACCAAGACCCTTCACAAAAACTCCGTACATGACGCTAACCGGCTTGGCGGCACATATTCATCCCGCTCGCTCATTAAAGGAAGGGTCGAAAGGAATATGTCCTCTTGGTCTCGCTTGTTTCAATTCGGAGGCCAGGTTATGACATCTCTGTGCCATATCTTGAATGCCACGGAGAAGATTAGAATCAGCAACAGGTAATCCTTCTGGCAATTGTTTGAATGCAAGTCTGGTGATATCCTTAGAGAGTTGTCGAGCAAGATTAGCGTTCTCTTCAGTATCCACACCCTCATCAATCTTGTTGATAACCTTGCGGATACTGGCGACCACTCGTTCAATCTATGGTTAATGATATATGAACGAGTAGGAGGTATGTAGGGTAGGAGGTATGTAGGGTAGGAGGTATGTAGGGTAGGACGTATGTAGGGTAGGAGGTATGTAGGGTAGGAGGTATGTAGGGTAGATGTATGTGATTACAGTTGTGTCCAGAGATGAGTTGTCCTGTATTTTGGTTTTAGCATCGAGTAGTTGTTGCATGACATCTGCAAGTTGTTTGACAGCTCCTGATTCCTCCCCGGTAACTCTAAGTTCGACAGCGGCCATGTTGGGAGGTTGTACAATGGGTAGTGTTCTGAGTGGTGCTTGTTGAAGTGGTGCCAGTTGTTTAACCACAACAGGCTGCTGTTTGGCTTTCAATGTTGCTTGGTCTTCTTGTGACAGTGCAAACAATCTGCTGGCGAGTGAGACATCGTTGCCGGTTTGGGCTGGTGTGTTGCCTCGTTTGAAGGCGTCCAATTGCTGTTCGAGAGCGGCGAGACGTTTGGCCAGATCGATTTCGCTGTGTTCCATTCGTTCTGCACCTTCGTTAACCAGCTGAATGACTTTATTGTTACTGGACGCACCCTTGGCGACCAAGGCCCTCAGTTGAGCGCTGAAATACTCGGCCTTATTTTTCTGATGCATTTCGCGGATTTGGGATACTAAAAGTCGTTCCCGCGCGATTTTCAATGATTCAGTCGTCTCGCGCAAACGCTCCAGAAGAAAACGACAATCCTCCTCTATTAGACGAGCCTGCGGTCGACAGGGGCACTTGGGGTCCGAGAACGCTAGCGCTTCTGCGTTCTCGCGCAAATCACTGCACTCCGTTGAAAGGCGCTCGAAGGTCTTGCGCACCTCAAACAATTTGATCACCTCATCCTCCAACAATTTGGACATGCCCTCCTTCTGCTCTGGAGTACGGATCACACCCGTCGGGTTGTGCAACAAGTCTAGTACTTCCCGTGTTACTGCCTGCAACTGACTCTGCGTCTCCTCCAACTTCATGCTCGCCTCATTGATCACCTGACCCGTCTTGCTACTCAAAGCATCCATACGGTACGCCTCCTTCGGACTCCACAACGCCTCGATACCCGTCGTCTGGTTAATGCGACGTATGTTGTCTTGAATCAAACCCTGCATTGTCGCACACAACGTCATAATCAACTCGTCCGCAGCCGTTGCCGGCCCGTCTCGCTCCGACAGGTTCTTCGTTAACTCCGTCAACTGACTCAGCATCAACTGACGCGACTCTACGTTGTTCATTTCCTTCTCAAAGTTCACCAGGTTCAACGCAATGTTCCGGTAACGCTCCAGCGCCGCCGTCGGACCCTCTTTCGGCGTACCCGGCAATGTCGCCGGCGTCAACGGAAGCGGAGACCCGGCAGTCGCAGCCGCCTCCGGCACATCCCCCACAATGTTCCGCTTCATTCGCTCCAGTCGCAACGCTTGACTCAACGGCACCAATTTCGAACCCTGCGGCAAAACCGTCAACACCTTCGGACTCAAACCGTTTGGACTGTGGCCGCCATTCGGACTCAACCCCGCTGGACTCAACAAACCAGCCGGACTACCCAACGCTCCACCCTCAGGAACTGACACCTCCATCAGCTTCGCCGCCTGAGTCGCCGCCAGGTTCGCAGCAGACTTGGCATTGGCGTAAAACTGGTCAGCCGACAAGTGCGGGGGGGTGCACGGACTGTGAACTGAAGGCACCGAACCCGTCGTCGACGTCCCCGCCGCCGCTTCATTCTTGGAGAACAAAAAGTTCCCGATGCAGTTCTTCAATCGCTGACACACAGTCGGCATCTCCACGTCGCCCTCTTTCCCTCCACTGCCTCCATTCACTTTGCCGCTCGCCCCAGGAGAATGCTTCCCGCCCCCGTGGCCGTTGCCGTCGCCATGGCCGTTACCACTGCCATGACCATTGCCGATGCCGCCATGGCCGTTACCACCGCCATGACCATTGCCGTTGCCGTGGCCATTGCCGTGTTTGCAGTCGGAGTCGGTTCGGCGACACTCGCAGTCGTGGGCGGGGCAGCTGGGGCCTCTGTGAAAAGTGTGTGCACACGCGGCGTGGGCAGCGCCGGGTTTCGCGGCCATGGGGGGTTGGTTGTAGCGGGCTGGTCCGAGACCGCTAGCGTAGCCGGAGCCGGCGGCGGGGAAGCGTATGATCTCAGGGGCGACGTTGCGGTAAACGGGTCTGGCCAGGGGCAGTTGGGTTTGTGGTGGAGGCAGCGGGGGTAGTCGGGCCTCGACGTGTATTTGTTCTCGTGGACGCGGCGGTGGCGTGTGGGCGTGTCTATGTCTGTGTCGGTGTTTGTGTCTCTTGGCGGTTGGTGCTGGGGTGGGTTCCGCCTTAGGGGTCGGTTCGGTTCTTGCCTGAGCGGCCGGCGCCGCCTGTGGGAGCGGCGTGGAAGCTTTGAGCAGATTCCCATCTGCATCCTGGCGGTACCGCTGCCCGTCGTGGCCTTTGACCAGCCACTGGTTGTCTTCAAACAGCCAACGTAACCCCTTGTCACCTTTGGCCAACCAGTCCTCACCGTCGAACACCCACCTCGTCCCTTCGGCGTCCTCCACCACGTAGTCCTCGCCGTCCCACACCCACTCGTTTCCGTTCTCATCCACAAAACGGTCGTTCAAACCCGCCTCCCCCAAAGAAGGCGTCGAACCCGGGCTCCCCGGCTCATAAGACCGAATCAAGCTCATCTGCACCCGCGACGGGTGCAACACACCAACGCCATCACACAATCTCGCATCAATTACTTATAGCATAATATTTACAGGTTGCGCAAAAAGGCACTGATCAGCCCCACAGCCACAACCGCTGCTGAGGTTCGGCTCCGGCTGCCTTCCGCCCAGACCCAGCCCTCGTTGTACATGGCTCTATTTCGGTAGTAGCTGTACTGGGTCGGTTTACCCATTCTGCGCAGCAGCATCACTGCCTCATCCTTCATCCGTTTGATTTGTTCACGGAATCGGCGCATTGATTGCTTAGGTAACTGCAGCAATTCTCTACACACGTAGTAGCTTTCAAACGGCAAACAAAGGGATCTCGCCAAAATTTCGTGGATGCTTTCGAACAAGATTATTTCCTGACCGGGTGGCAGCAGGACTGCGCCATCCCCGGCCGGCCCCCTCTCCACAACCGGGTAGACGCCACCGGGAAGGCCTCCGTACCTTCCCTCAGGTCCGAAGCGACCTTCAGGTCCGTACCTTCCCTCAGGTCCGAAGCGACCTTCGGGTCCGAAACGTCCATCAGGTCCGAAT